ATGGTTTGGCCTTTATTTTAAGTTGTTTGTTTGTTTGTTTGGTTGGTTGGTTGGTTGGTTGTTGGGGCAGGGGGATGGAGAGTCTCATGTAGCCAAGGCTTGAACTCATTCTGTAGGAGAAAATGGCTTTGAACTCCTGGTACTCCTTGCTTGAACCTCTGGGTGCTGGGCTTATAGGTATGCACCGCCAAACCCAGCCTGCTACACATTTTCTGAAAGTAAATCATACCTTCCTATTCCTCTGGGAAAATATGAAATATGAATCAGGGACTTCAATAGTGTTGGTAAAAGATGAAAATCCTCCAAATCCTTCTAACAGCCCCCATCTTTGTCCCACCAGAATATTGTGGAGTACAGATGATCTTTATGTCTTTATATGCTCAAATGATGTTTGAAACCAAATGCTGACTTGGGGAAGTGTCCTTTGCTTAATGTCCCTCAAGATAGAGTACTCAAGCATTACCCATGGTTACCTCATGGCTCCCTCGCATCATGGTCCTGCACACATCCAGCTTCTTGCCCAAACACAACAAAACCCCAATTAAAGTCCCACTAGAGATTTTGTAATGATGGAATGAAACCACTTTTACACTTATGTGCAAAGCCATATGGCAGGTAATTGAGGACAAATATTTTAAAGAAAACCAATAATGGGGCTGGAGAGATGGCTCAGAGGTTAAGGGCACTGGCTGCTCTTCCGGAGATCCTGAGTTCAATTCCCAGCAACCACATGATGGCTCACAACCATCCGTACTGAGATCTGGCACCCTCCTCTGGCGTGCAGGCGTACATCGAGGCAGAATATTGTATACATAATAAATAAATCTTTTTTAAAAAACAATAATTTTAATTACTGACTATTAGAAGAGCACTAAAAAAAAAGCCACGACAGTAAATGACACCAATCATGGAAAAGACGCACGCTGGAGGTGACACTATATAGAGCCAGTAGTAAGATTCAAGTATATGCTGGTCTTAGGATTTCTGTTGTGACCAAACACTATGACCAAAAAGTTAGGGAGGAAAGGGTTCATTTGTCTGGCAATTCCACATTGTAGTTCATCACTGAAGGAATCCAGGATGGGAACTCAGACAGGACAAGAATCTGAGGCAGGAAGCCTTTGTAGAGGCTGTGGAGGGGAACTGCTTATGGACTTGCTCCCCATGGCTTGCTCAGCCTGCTTTCTTACAGAACCAGGAGCACCAGACCAGGGATGGCACCACCCACAATGGGCTGGGCCCTCCCCCATCAATCACTAATTAAGAAAATGCCTTACAGCTGGATCTCATGGAGGCGTTTTCTCAGTTGAGGTTCTCTCCTTTCAGATGACTCTAGTTTGTATGGACACAAGACCTCCCAGCCCGGAGTGGGTGAGGTTACCTGACAAGTGGTGTTTCATTGCCTGGCCTTCTAGAAATCAAAAGTCAGAAGAGTCAGCTGGGCTTCTGCTGGGATGCTTTCTGCAGCTTCTAGCGCCTTTGTTAGTTGACTCCTGGTCCTTTGCCTCTTCCCAGGCAGTCACGTATTGCTTCCGTCATTACAAATCTCTAACTCTGACATTAGCCCTGCTGATTCCCCCTTTCATTAAGTAGGATCCTTGTCATGTCATTGGGCCCATCTAAACCATCTAGGGCTATGTGCCACCTCAAGGTCAGATTATTAAGAATCTTACTTATCTGTGCCCCCCACGCTGTAACATATTACAATAGCCATAATTTTGTTTATGTGAGTAGTCTATGTGGAAGTTGTCTGGATCAAAATGGAGTTATTTGTGTTATACTCAAAAGAAATAAATTTAGATTATCAAAGGGATCTCATGTACCTGACCTAATAAAATTGGCCAATTTAAAAACCTGCCAAACCATAACCTTGTGTGGGGGTAAGTAACCTTACACAGAAAATAATTCTGAAAGAATGTATGGTCCACACTGAACCTTGTCTGTCTAGCTTAACCTCAGGCCAATGCCACTGTTGCTATTGATACTTGTAGCCAAAACTCATTATTTCAAAATAAATTATATGATCCTCTTGTCTCCTCTTTGTCTCCTCCTTGAATACACGCATAACTAGCCATGGTCCACACATCTCTACTACAGTGTGCATTCCTGGATAAAATTAATAGTCTTTGGGCGGGCTCTTTGTTATCTAAGTTGATACCTGTGGGCTGAGAGGAATTCTAAACCAAGACATAAAATCAAGAATCTACTTGTTAACCACATAAACACTTCACATTTAAAACCATAGAATGTAGAAGGCAAAAAAAAAAATGTGAAAGCAATATGGAACAAAATACACTAGGGGATAATGGATTTGCATATTCATCTCACATTGCTGCCCTGAGAACCTGGAAACCAGAGATGAGAGCTCATGGTGTCACTCAAAAGTGGTTCAGCTTGCAAGAACACCTAGATAGTTGCTTTGGTGGCTAGAGACAGAGTATATGATGTTTAGTCTTCATTGTCAACTTGACACAACCTAGAATCATCTCAATCTGTTTCGATCTGGTCGGTCTGTGGTTATGTCTATGGGGAATGGTCTTAATTACCTTGATTAAGATGGGAAGACTCATCCATTACAGGTGGTACCACTCCAAGGGTTTGGGTCTTGAACAGTTTACATGTAGGGATGGAACTGAACACAGCAAGCATGCATGCATTTATTCTCCCTGCCCTTGACTGGGAAAGCGACCAGCTGCTTCAAGTTCCAGCCTTCACTTTCCTTCAGTAATGGACTGTAACCTGGAATTGTATGCCAAATAAGCCCTTTCTCCCTTATGCTGCTTTTTTGGTCAGAGTATTTTATCACAGCAACAGAAGTAAAAAATAAAATAAAATAAAATAAAATAAAATAAAATAGGAGAGGGTGGTTCCAAGAAGAAAAAGTAACCTTCTCCAAGGCTCTGACTAGAAATTGGTACAGCTGCAGTGTCCTGAGGAGTGAAGGGCCAAAGAATATCCTGAGTCAGAACCCTCAGCAACAATTGACCATTCTCAGGATGGGCAAGGGAAGGTGGGGAGGTTTGCTTCCAAGGAGATGTGTACATCAGAGCTGTGACCAACAGAAGGGACACATAATCATATTATGGGATAACATGCACCCCACACACAAGTACAAAGTGGATGCTACAGCAAACATCCTAGGTAACAATTTTATTTAAGTATCAAAATGGCTCTAAATAGAATGTCGTATTAAACTGCACAGATAGAGTACAGAAACTGGTTGCTTGGAGACCACTGTCATGTATCCGGTGACATGTGGTCATCCTCGGGTCATTTAATTACAGCGGGCCTTGGTTCCATCATCTGTAAAAGACGTAAATAAGAGTAAGTATGTGAAGAAAAATGAAGGGGGGTTGATAACTACAAAAGTGTTTGATATACTAGAAGTCAGGTGAAGTGATTAATCTAGATCAGAGGTTCTCAAACCTCAAGGTCGTGGTCCCTTTAGGAGTCACAGGGGTGGCCTAAGACCATAAGAAATACCAGATATTTACATTATGATTCATAACAGTAGCAAAATTACAGTATGAAGTAGCACTAAAAATAATTTTATGGTTTTGGGTCACCACAGCATGAGGAACTGTATTGAATGGTGGCAGCACTGGGAAGGTTGAGAACATCTGCTCGAGACCATCTTGGTTTGTGTATGTGGGCTCTGTGAAGATAGACAACTCATTTTTAACACCAAGCAGTGTGTGTGTGTGTGTGTGTGTGTGTGTGTGTGTGTGTGTGTGCATTGTGCAAATAAGCAAGGGAGAGGGGCAGAAGCTGTCAACTCCATCAGCAGTAGCCACCCTGATGGTTCTCACCTAGAGGAAAATCAACCCAAAGTGCCCCTTGTATGTTCTGGATCACTGGGTTAGATCAACATCCTCCAATCACCCAACTCTGACTTCTAGCACAAAGTGGGTAAGACTAAAACACTGTGTCTCTGGGCAGAGTTAACAATCTAAGTGAGTCCACCATAGTTCCCATAAGTTTGGTGAGTCCTGGGCTGCCTCAAGAACAAAGCTAGGCTGGGCGGTGGTGGTGCACGCCTTTAATCCCAGCACTCGGGAGGCAGAGGCAGGCAGATCTCTGGGAGTTCGAGGCCAGCCTGGTCTACAAGAGCTAGTTCTAGGACCGGCACCAAAGCTACAGAGAAACCCTGTCTCAAAAAACAAAAAAATAAATAAATAAACAAATAAATAAATAAAAATAAATAAAAAAAGAACAAAGCTAGACTAAACAACTAACAAAGACCAAGCAGACAGGTACTTAGGAGACAGACCCTCTATGTGCCAGGAAATCTATTTGCTTCTTTATAATCAGACAAAACAAAGTGGGACTTAGAGAGAACCAAGAGAAGCGACCCACAGAGGCAGTCATCAGATTATGAGAAGGGTACCAGGCCTAGGACTCTGCGTCTTCCTGGTGCTCTCTCTGCTCTGAAGGAGTGATAGAGGGAGGTCCCCGCAGCAAGGCACAGCAGAAGCCAGGAAGGCTGTGTGGTGTTACTGACCATGCAGCCCTCCACTTACCCTTCAAGACCTTGTTGATCCACTGCATGGCAGTTTTCTTCTCTAAGTCAAAGTCTTCTACAGTGATTCGGAAACATAGTTCTGGAGGTGGGGGCAGAGCCAGTGGGATGTCTCTTCTATGAGGCGGGAACAAAGGGATCTTGCGCCTCACAGGCTTTGGAATATCAGATGTGGAGAAGCTCTTCTTTGGATTGCCTTGCTTGCCTTGCTTGTCTTGCTTGCCTTGCGTGTCTTGCTTGCCTTGCTTGTCTTGTTTGCCTTGCTTGTCTCGAGCCGCATCTGCAGCAGCTGCGGCAGCTGCTTGTATGGCTTTCTTTTTTTCTTTCTTTTCTTTTTTTCTCTTTTCCCTCTTTTCCTTTTTTTTCGAAATACCTGAAGGTGCACCGCCTCTCTCATCTCCTTTCTTTGCAGCCTCTGTTGACTGGGATGAGTCTTGGCTGGGGAATGGCAGAGTGCATGGTACAGCATCTGAGACAGCATCTAGGTCAGCATCAGCATCTGCAGCAGCACCTGAAGCAGCATCTGCAGCAGCCCCTGAAGCAGCTCGGGTAGTGTATACATCAGCATCTGGGGCAGCCCCTGGGGCAGCACCTCCAGTAGGTTGTGCAGCAGCTCCTGTAGCAGTCCCTGAAACAGCACCAGGGACAGCACCTCGGGTAACACCTGCAGCAGCATCTGGCGCAGCACCTCGGGTAGCACCTGAAGCAGCATCTCGGGCAGCACCTCGGCTAGCACCTGCAGCAGCATCTGGAGCAGCACCTCGGGTAGCACCTGCAGCAGCATCTGGGGCATCCCCTGAAGCAGCACCAGGGACAGCACCGTGGGTTTCACCTGCAGCAGCATCTGAGGCTGCACCTCGGGTAGCACCTGCGGCAGCATGTGAAGCAGAACCGGGGGCAGCACCTCGGGTAGGTTGTGTAGCAGCTCCTGCCGTAGCGCCTGAGGCAGTACGAGAGACAGCACGTCCGGTAGCCCGTGTAGGAACTCTCTCGGGTGGCCATTGTGCTAGAGTGGAACTATAGGAGCTGGCGATGGCATTCCGTTTGTATGCGCTCTTGAATGCGATCTGAGATTCTTTAATACAGCTCTTTGCTGAATTCTTGGAACAGATATCCAAACCTAAAGGACCTGGTCTAGGTATAAAAGAAGAGAGTACATCATTGACAATCAGGCGTCTAAATGCAGATTGGGCACTCACACCACCATCAGAGTCCGTTCCCTGATCAGAAGGCCTCTTTATGACTGGGGAGCCTTCCTCCTGCTCGACAAATCCTTCTCCACCTTTTCTCAAGGTATTGGAGTTTTTCTTTTTCTTTTGTTGCACTCTTTTGCTTTTGCTGCTCACTTGGAGAGCACTAAATTGAGTCGAGAGGTAGCCAGTGAGAAATGACCACAAATTCAGGATCGGCTGCCCCAGAACAAAACAGAGTATGGCTCTGCCCTTAGTAGAGACCGCCTTCAGGATCACGGAGCCTCGGAACATCCTGGAATCTGACAGCATCGGCACTGAGTTGTGCTGACTACACAAGAACATTGAGGAAAAGACTCTGATGAGTAAGTCCCGAACCTTCTCCACTAAATATCGCTGCGTGTGGACAACCATCACGCGCCCAGGGTGCTCCTGGGAATCGGCTAAAGCCTCATCATCTTCAAAAGGTAGGCTGTCAGCCATGTTCAGACACCGGTCCATGGAATTAGCCCGGAGAGACCGGGAAACACTGTGGACCGGCGGCAAGGGCCTCTTCTGGAGGTCCCCAGTGGACACAGTCAGGAACAAACAGTGAGGGCGAGCCCGCCCCAGGTAACCACCCATCCGGACAGCACTGCACTATCGACGCCTTCAAAGGGAGTCAACGGTTCAAAGACGCTTCCCTAGCTGCCGAAGGAGCCGACAGTAAGGCACGCACTGTCGGGTGTGTCGCCTATGACGCGGTGCTGGAACGTGTGAGCGAAGAAAGGGCACGAGCAAAGGCCCCACGAGGGAAGAGCGCGCACCAGGAACCCCTACTGCTGATAAAAGTGACATTAGGACGACCTCTTGTCTGGAAGCCAGTAGACAGCCCCGCCCCCCACTGTTGGAACCACGCAACACTGAGGTGCCCCAGCCAGAGAACTATGAGGCTGCTGGACTCCGAGCTCAGAAGCGTCCCCTGGAGGCCGCAGTATCCTCCCCGCAACCCCACCCCAGCTCAGAACCAGAGCTCACAGGTGCTGTCCAGATCCTGTGAGACAGAGGAAACCTAGAGCGAGTTAGCAAGGCTGAAGCAGGTTCCAGGCATCCAATAGAAGTGAGAGAACACCGGAGGAAACAGGCCTGAATGGCTGCTACCACACCGTCTCTTCAACCAACAGCCAGAAGACCGTACATTCATTAAATGATCAAAAAGACTTCTATCATTTCAAAGTTTAAGGTTAAACAATTTTTTTCAATTCAAGGACACATTTTTATTTATATTTGCCTTATGAGAAAACATTATATTGAGCATTTCACCCGAAATCTCGATTGATTCAGTGGTTATTTATGTATTTTAACAGTAAGCTTGTAAAAACATATTGGTTATTTAAATACAGTCTCAAAATAAACTCAACCAGACTGAACAAGAAGTATCTAAACAAAGACTTAAAGCTATTTTCACCTTTGAAAGTTTCTCTCCAATGTGCACATCATTGTTCTGTATTTTCTTAGATTCTGTATTTGGCATCTGTTGATTACAAAGTTAAGATAATGGCCAAGGTTGTTTATATTTCTTTCTCATCATTCAATTTTATGGGTCTAAGAAAACCATACTAAGAGAGAAATATGGCATTTTCTAAACTTTTGTATGTGTACACACATATATGACATAAAGGTAGGAAGGGTTCTATGACATAGGAAAAGACAACGAAAGGGATAAAGATGCAGGAAAAAAGGTTGTCCTGAAATTCATGTGGCCATGAGAACACAAAAGAGGACCATTCGTCAGAAGGGGACCAACAAGCAAGGGGAGGAAGACGGGAGGAAAGGAGGAAGGAAGTGACAGGTAAATAAATACAAAGTATATATATATATATATATATGTGTGTGTGTGTGTGTGTGTGTGTGTATGTGTGTGTATGAAAACATCATAAAGAAATTCACCTTAATATGTGAATCAAAAACTCACAAAAATTAAAGTCTTATGACAAATACTTTAACCTTGAATCTATCATCTTCATTATATAACTCTCATACAGCAAGCCCATATTGTCCATCTTAAATCACCCTACAGAAGATACTAGACAACTAAGAAAATTTCTGTATTCCAGAACTTAGTAATGTTATTAAAGCTACCCAACAGTAAACTGTTTCCTTACTCCTGGAAAACACAATAAAGGCATTGGGCCATGTTTTTTCCTCAGTTCTCATTCTGGTGCTTCCCTATAAGGACTTTCACAGTCTAAATCATTATTCTCTCCATGGAAATTTCTCACTCACCTCCACAAACTGAAATTCTATGGGTACATTTTAATATAATCTTTTATTTCTATTTATTTTTTTAATTTATTTATTTATTAAAGATTTCTGCCTTCTCCCCACCCCCGCCTCCTATTTCCCTCCCCTACCCCTGATCAAGTCCCCTTCCCTCATCAGCTCAAAGAGCAATCAGAGTTCCCTGCCCTGTAGGAAGTAAAAGGACCGCCCACTTCCATCCAGGTCTAGTAAGGTGAGCATCCAAACTGCCTAGGCTCCCCCAAAGCCAGTATGTGCAGTAGGATCAAAAACCCATTGCCATTGTTCTTGGGTTCTCAGTAGTCCTCATTGTCCGCTATGTTCAGAGAGTCCGGTTTTATCCCATGCTTTTTCAGACCCAGGCCAGCTGGCCTTAGTGAGTTCCTGATAGGACATCCCCATTGTCTCAGTGTGGGGGTGTACCCCTCGTGGTCCTGAGTTCCATGCTCATGCTCCCTCTCCTTCTGCTCCTGATTTGGACCTTGAGATTTCAGTCCGGTGCTCCAATGTGGGTCTCTGTCTCTGTCTCCTCTCATCGCCTGATGAAGGTTAATATTCAGGAGGATGCCTATATGTTTGTCTTTGGATTCACCTTCTTATTTAGCTTCTCTAGGATCGCGAATTATAAGCTCAATGTCCTTTATTTATGGCTAGAAACCAAATATGAGTGAGTACATCCCATGTTCCTCTTTTTGGGTCTGGCTTACCTCACTCAGGATAGTGTTTTCTATTTCCATCCATTTGTATGTAAACTTCAAGAAGTCCTTGTTTTTTACTGCTGAGTAATACTCTAATATGTATATATTCCATACTTTCTTCATTCTTCCATTGAAGGGCATCTAGGTTGTTTCCGGTTCTGGCTATTACAAACAATGCTGCTATGAACATAGTTGAGCATATACTTTTGTTGTATGATAGGGCTTCTCTTGGGTATATTCCCAAGAGTGGTATTGCTGGGTCCAGGGGTAGGTCGATCCCGAATTTCCTGAGAAATCGCCACACTGCTTTCCAGAGTGGTTGCACAAGTTTGCATTCCCACCAGCAATGGATGAGTGTACCCCTTCCTCCACAACCTCTCCAGCAAAGGCTATCATTGGTGTTTTTGATTTTAGCCATTCTGACATGTGTAAGACGGTATCTTAAAGTTGTCTTGATTTGCATTTCCCTGATCCCTAAGGAAGTTGAGCATGACCTTAAGTGTCTTTTGGCCATTTCTTCTGTTGAGAATTCTCTGTTCAGCTCAGTGCCCCATTTTATAATTGGGTTGATTAGCCTTTTATGGTCTAGTTTCTTGAGTTCTTTATATATTTTGGAGATCAGACCTTTGTCAGTTGCGGGATTGGTGAAGATCTTCTTCCAGTAAGTGGGTTGCCTTTTTGTCTTAGTGACAGTGTCCTTTGCTTTACAGAAGCTTCTCAGTCTCAGGAGGTCCCATTTATTCAATGAGGCCCTTAATGTCTGTGCTGCTGGGGTTATACGTAGGAAGTGGTCTCCTGTGCCCATGTGTTGTAGAGTACTTCCCACTTTCTCTTCTATCAGGTTCAGTGTGTTTAGACTGATACTGAGGTCTTTAATCCATTTGGACTTGAGTTTTGTGCATGGTGATAGATATGGATCTATTTTCATTCTTCTACAGGTTGACATCCAGTTTTGCCAGCACAATTTGTTGAAGATGCTCTCTTTTTTCCATTGTATACTTTTAGCTCCTTTATCGAAAATCAGGTGATCATAGGTTTGTGGGTTAAAGTCAGGGTCTTCTATTCGATTCCACTGGTCGACTTCTCTGTTTTTATGCCAATACCAAGCTGTTTTCAATACTGTAGCTCTGTAATAGAATTTGAAGTCAGGGATGGTAATGCCTCCAGACAATCCTTTATTGTATAAGATTGTTTTGGCTATCCTGGGTTTTTTGTTTTTCCATATAAAGTTGATTATTGTCTTCTCCATATCTGTGAAGAATTTTGATGGGATTTTGATGGGAATTGCATTGAATCTATAGATTGCTTTTGGTAGAATTGCCATTTTTACTATGTTGATCCTCCCAATCCAAGAGCAAGGGAGGTCCTTCCATTTTCTGGGGTCCTCTTCAATTTCTTTCTTCAAAGACTTAAAGTTCTTGTCAAATAGATCTTTCACTTCCTTGGTCAGAGTTACCCCAAGATATTTTATGCTATTTGTGGCTATCGTGAAAGGTGATGCTTCTCTGATTTCCCTCTCTGCTTCCTTATCCTTAGTGTATAAGAAGGCAACTGATTTTTTGGAGTTGATCTTGTATCCTGCCACAGGTTAAACAATTTCTACATCAAAATCTGGTCATTGGTAGATACAATAGTTGAGATGAATCTCAAAAATCTTTGTGCTAGGTCAATTAACCACATCCACAAAACTATGTACTTGCCTCATGACCCCATATTATGATATTTTTTTAGTCAGGTGAGCTCCCAAGATGGAAGAAAAATCAGTGATTCCTAGGGCTCAGTGAAGCATGCTTAATAAAAATTCAAGGGAGAGAAATTGGGGTTCAACCTGAAGATCCAAAAACCAAAGCAGTCAGGCACTGGCTCTTACCTCGACCTCAGTCTGAAATGGTGATCCTGTCTCCAGGAATCTCAGAAACAGACTATATGTTGAGAGCTGTTTCCTCCCATTTTATAATCCTCTCTAGGGCTGGGATTAAAGGTATGCACCCCCGTGATTAAAGGCATGCACTGCCTGGTTTCTATGTCAGCTAGTGTGGCTACTGGGATTAAAGGTGTGTATCATTGTGGCTACTGGGATTAAAGATATGTGTTACCATTACCTGGTCTGTAAGGCTGTTTTACTCTCAGATCTTATTTTTCAGATCAGTCCTTATTTTTCAAAATACAATTGAAAGGCCACTACAACTTAAAGCTGGAGGAGGGATTGAATACAAAGAAACTGGAGGACTAAGAAAATGTTCATGTATGTTGATTACAGCAGCTGGTACAAGCATCTACACATCTGAAAAAAATTTATGATAAGTCACAGAGTACTATAGGTAACTTTAAAAATAAGTGTTTATCCAGGTGATAGTGGCACATGCCTTTAATCCCAGCACTTGGGAGACAGAGGCAGGAGGATCTCTGTGAGTTCAGGGCCAGTCTTGTCTACAGAACAAGTTTCAGGACTGGCTCTAAAGCTACTGAGAAACTCTGTCTCGAAAAGCCAAAAAAAAAAAAAAAAAAAAAAAAAGTATTTAAGTTTATTAACCATGACTTTATACTTAAAATCAAGGGTTTTTATTTTTAAAATATTGACACAACAAGGCCAGCCTGTTCTACAAGAGCTAGTTTCAGGGCAGCTAAGGCTGTTAAACAAAGAAA